AAGGACTTCAAACTCAATGCAAATATTCAAATGCGCCTTTACTTGATTACCCTCCTGCCGTATCTTCTCGTCTGGTTTCGTATTCCAAGCTGCCAATGTCAATCATGAGTGCCCCCAACGTTACTATCACGCATGCGCAAATGGATGTTAGACCAATATGCTCAATCTCAGATGCCTCCGCTGTTAATTATGCTCGCGGGCCCACTACAGGTCACGGGTTCAATCCAAGGTACAATTCCCTGTTGGTTCAGCCTGAAGTTATGCTCCAGTTACCTCTCGTCCATGGACAGCAGAGGGCAACTGGTACCAAAAAAGGTTGAGAACTTTATACATAAATCTAGAAAGAATAAAAGAGGGAACTAATTTTGATTGGCTTTGAACATGGGGCTCGCCATGTCTTCTTTTTCGTTGTCTTAAGACGACTGTAGCGTGACCTCCTGGTACAATAATAGGCCATTTCACGGATCCCGTTACTCAACCTCAGCCTCGTCAGCGTGTAATTATTCTTTAGAATTTGACTACAGTGCGCAGTAATGAAAGGAATTTGCACATCAACGAACAATTGAAATACTTAAAAATTTCACAGGTTGTAGGCAATTTCTAAAGAATATATTAACGCTGACGAGGCTGAGGTTGAGCCGCGGGATCTGTGAAATGGTCTATCCCTAACAGTGATATGTTCAGATTAATGTGTCACTTGATGTCTTTTACTTCCACTACCAGACTCCCTTGCACACTTTATTTTTTCAATTAATTAGCACTAATTGTCTTACTATTCTCACGAGGAAATACAAGACTGAATAAAAAATAATAAAAAAAAGAAAAGAAAATTCGAGAAGCATTTTGGTTTCATTTCTAGACAAGACATTCTTTATTACCCATTCCGAGGTTGAGAGACTATACTGGGTCGAGTTGACATTGCAGTGCATTGTGGGGATATTTTAGGAAACGAAATGCCAACTCGACCCAGTCTTTTCGTTGACTTTGGGATGTCTAATAAGCGGATGTGGATATATAGGGCTTAACATTTAACTGTCAATTGGCCTGAAAAATTAGTACAGTAGTTAACCGACAAACCACACCCCGTAATAAATTTCGAAAAATAGTGAATTTCGGTCTATTTTGAGCACAAACATTTATTGTTTACTATGCCTTATATGGTTGTGTTGTGTGTACCCAAGCCGGAAACCAATTTTTAAAGGTTGACAGAAATAATTATATGCCCCAAAAAGTAATTTATTTTATAATTCCTACTACATAGAGTGCAAACACTAAAAGCGTTCAATGATTTCATGGCACTATCTAACACTAAACAGACCCATTGCAGTACGCCAGGATGGCTGCTCACTTTGAGGGACATATTCCAAATATTTAGAACAAAAAAAAAAATCTAGAAGATTGAAATACTCCCATTTCGAGTTCGCCTCTGCTCAGTCTTAGCCTCGATTGTGTACGAATGTGTTCTTTTCTTTCATTAAGGTCCATTGTATAGTAAGGAATGTACGACACTACGGAACAATGCGAATTGATGAAAATGTCACGGGTTTTGGTTGAATACGTAAATATTATAACGCACAAACGACAATAAGACTGAGCAAAGAGAACTCGAAACTGGAGTTTATTTTTTGTTTTGTGCTCCAAATAGAGTGTGTTGCTTTGACGTGTCATGCAAGGGCTCTATAGCACTAATTAATTAAATAATTGAAAACAACAGCAATAGAGTACAAACACTATAAGTGTGTAACATAAATACCACTAAATACTGATAAATTATGCTAATCCTATTGTTTTCTATTGTTTAATTAGCACTATTTACTACTAAATAGTGCAAAGTGTTGCACGCTTTTACCGTTTGTACTAGAGTGAAGGCATTACTAGTTAACCTGTAATAGTTAGTTTAATAGACAAAAGAAAACAATGGATTTATTGTGGTTTATTAGAGTGAAG